TTGCTTTGCCAGGTCACACACCTGATGTGACGTAATGCTGCGAGTAGTGACTTGTTTGGCGCAGTGTTGCGATGATTTTCACTCATACCGACTGACACTTTTTCTTGCGGTTCTTTGGCAGGAAATCATATTTTATCATCATTTACTGTATGTGCGTTCAATGCATTGTGCAATCGTCAGTTTGGATCACATTTCATGTGTGGATGCGGGAACTTTTGGGAATATATACTTTTGCTTTGTTTTCTTTCAAGCAAAGTGCTTTCAAGGCAACTACTGGATCTGGTGGATGGCCGATGACGGTGTTTCTCACGCCAGAATTGGATCCAATAACTGGTGGGACATACTTTCCACCGCGTGACTCGCCTGTAGGTTTGGGTCTGCCCTCCGTTCTGAAAATTGTTTCAGAGAACGTGAGTTGATGTTTAATGATAAAACGTAGAGTGGAGTGTTAGTACGTCTTACCAGGGAGGTCGTTCAGGACGTGGCGCGCTTTTTGAAAACGGTTTTTTGCATTATGTAGGGGCACGTTCATGGACTACCAAACTGACGTTCATTTTTCCTAAATGGCTCTTTGAATACCAAAAAAGGAGTGAAAAAGAAGTGTATGGAAACCGATAAGTTTTGAGGCTCTATGGGCTCCACATCGCTTGCAACTTTGACCAGTTGTTGAGTGGGGGGTCCTTATAAAGGTTCTATGGGGATCGAGGAGAAAAACAGTCGCAAAGGGGTCTTATTTGTGGCACGTGATCAAGAGTGAGCGGCTCCTTGGAATGGTTTCTTCAACGATCGGAGCGGTGTTCAGCTACAACGATCGGATGGCCTAGTGGATAGCGTGGAGGATTCTCAATCTGGCAGTGAGGGTGGGTGTTGATGGTTCGACTCCCCTCGGCGTGTGAACTTTTGCAATTTTTTAGTTTTGCTATTTTCGTTTCCATGAATGTCTGTGCATGAGGATAACATGGATATTTGCCATTTATGGGCAAATCTTAACGGTAGTACCCCGTGAGTCGGTGTTATTCTACTAATACAATTTTCTCATACCGTTAAGCAAGGCTGCCACTGAAAATTGGGCACTATTTACCCTTTACTGCCCCAGTCATCCGAAATCAGGCCAGTTCCTGACCGACTTTTTTCTCCGTGGGCAGATTTTGCTCAAATGTTGTCTCCTGGGGTAGTTTGACCTCCAGAATACGAATATCACATTCGCTCAGCCCGAAACTTCCTGGCGCCCGCGCCACAGGCGCCAATGATTTGGGGTATTTTGGCGCCGGTGCCCGTGGTGCGGGCGCCAGGAGGTTTCGGGTTGAGCGGATGTGATATTCGTGTTCAGGGGGTCAAACTACCCCTGGGAGCAAGTTTTCAAC